TCCTGCCCAAGCCAAGGGTTGGACTAGAAGACCTCCGAGGTCCCTTCCGGCTCTGTTATTCTGTTAAAAGATTCTTACTTTGTGTGGAGGACTGAGGGCTGTTGTTTCTTCTTTTCAGTTACTGGGCTGATGGATTTCCACAGCGTCCGAAAGACAACCAGTGTGTCCTAATGACCAGCAGATGCCCAGTGCCTTATAAATGTTGGATGAATTACCCATGTCATGAATCCCAGAAGGGCATTTGCCGGAAGTCTCCAGAGTTGAAGTGGCTCTCTTAGCTCCTGGCCGAAGGATGGGCAAAACTTGTCATTTGATCAACTCCATGGGGAAAAACAAAGAAAACGATAAAACTGCCGCTTAAAAACAGTAGCCCAAATCAGGACTTCGACATCGCTTTTCAAATCTCTTCTCCATCCTGCTTTTTCTTTTTTTGCAGATTAAAAACACTGTCTGCTTTGGCAATTTAAAGGGCTGGTAAAAAAAATGAAAAAAAGAATCTGTCTTTTCTGTTTTTATTCTTTTTTTTTTTTTAACAAACATTTTTAGTTTATGCCTGGAGGCCGTACAGATCTGGATGGGGAGGAACAGACTCAGGCTCAACCCATCCAAGACCGAGTGGCTGTGGTTTCCGACGTCCCGATATAGTCAGTTGGCGCCATCACTGACTATTGGGGGCGAGTCGTTGGCCCCCATGGATGGGGTTCGCAACTTGGACATCCTCCTGGACTCATAGCTGTCTTTAGAAGAGCATATGACGGCCGTGGCCGGGAGGACTTTTTATCAGGTTCGCCTAATTCGCCAGTTGCGTCCCTTTCTGGATCGGGACTCCCTACGTGCAGTCACTCATGCCCTTGTCACCTCATGCCTGGACTACTGCAATGCTCTCTACATGGGGCTCCCCTTGAGGAGCACCTAGAGGCTCCAACTGGTCCAGAATGCGGCCGCGCGGGTGGTGATGGGAGCGACATGGCGCTCCCATGTGACCCCCCCTCCTGCGCGAGCTGCACTGGCTCCCGGTGGTCTTCCGGGTGCGCTTCAAGGTTTTGGTCACCACCTTTAGAGCGCTCCATGGCTCAGGACCCGGGTACCTACGAGACCGCCTTCTGCCACCAGTAGCCTCTCACCGACCAGTTCGCTCCCATACAGAAGGGCCACAACAGGCTATCTCTATTTCACTTATGCAATCCCCCCTCCCAACTCCCCACGGTATGATTTATTTATTTATTTATTTATTATTTATTTATTAATTAAATTTCTATACCGCCCTTCTCCAAAAAGGACTCAGGGCGGTGCACAGCCAAAGTAAAAACAGAGCATACAAAATTTAAAAACAATATTAAAATAATTAAATATTCTGGCCGTAAATTAAAACAACCCAATTTAAAATCAATTTAAAATTAAACTCACGCCAGCCCAGCTAGTTGAAATAAATAGGTTTTCAGGGCCCGACGAAAAATCCGGAGGTCTGTTATTGTACGTATCTCTGGGGGGAGGTTGTTCCAGAGGGTGGGCGCCGTTACAGAGAAGGCTCTCCCCCTGGGGGTCGCCAGCCGACATTGTCTGGCGGACGGCACCCTGAGGAGGCCCACTCTGTGCGAGCGTACTGGCCGGTGGGAGGCTATTGGCGGCAGAAGGCGGTCTCGTAAGTACCCCGGCCCTAAGCCATGGATTGTGGCAGGCCTGGATCCTCAAGGCACGCAGGTAATATGGCTTCCAGGCATGACACGTGGAAGGTCTGAAAGATCGCAGCACGGATTTTACCACGATGGCCTTTTACAATCTTTGTTTGTTTGGAGAGGTTTTTTCTTTTCTTTTCTTTTCTTCTTCTTCTTCTACAAACCTCCTCCTGCATAAGTAAGAACTGCTGCCAGTTGGTAACATCTGCTCTTTTTTTCTTTTCTTTTTTCTTTTAAGAAGTTCCACATTGTGCTAATGAATTTCTTAACCTCGGTGGAGTCTCCTGGGAAGCCCCGTCAGGTGTTCTCACTTGGTTGAGGTGTACGCGGGGGGGGGGGTGGGGGAGAAGGAGAAGGAAAAGGGGAGAAACTCATCCATCTTTGTCTCCATCTAGACCTCCAGATTCCCCTTAGTGCCTCCCCCTCCTTCTCCAGCCAAACCACCTGGTGGATTAAGATGTCAAACGTCCATCACTTCATAAAACCAACTCTGACACATGAAAACCTTTCCCCGTCCTCCCTCCCACTCCCTCCATGATCTTTGCAAATTACCGTTTTCGCAGCATCCTCCTGGACAGCCGTTGCAAAAGGGACTGTGAAAAGGCTTGATTAAAGCTGCCCGTCAAAGCCAGGAGCCTGGCGTTAAGTGTGTGGCATGGATAATTCAAGGCAGAACAGGGGGTTGGCATTTGCCAGGGGTGCCCACTCGGTTGAGGCGTATCACTCTTCCGATATTGAGACTCTGGGAAAAGTGCAAAGAAGAGCAGCTTAAGATGATCAAAGGCCTGGAGAGTGAAACATACAAAGAACGGCTGCAGGATTTGGGTTTGGCTGGTCTAAAGAAAAGAAGAATTATGGGTGACATGATAGCAGTCTTCCAGTATTTTAAATTAAAAATTTTAAATTAAAAACTGTAAATCATAGATCATAGAATTTTATTGGCCAAGTGTGATTGGACACACAAGGAATTTGTCTTGGTGCATATGCTCTCAGTGTACATAAAAGAAAAGATACGTTCATCAAGAATTCTAAGGTACAACACTTAATGATATTTGAGAGGTTGCCACAAAGAGGAGGACATCAATTAATTTTCCAAAGCACCAAAAAGCAGGACAAGAAGCAACGGATGGAAGCTAATCAAGGAGAGAAGCAACTTGGAATTAAGGAGAAACTTCCTAACAGTGAGGATAATTAACCGGCGGAACAGCTTGCCACCAGAAGTTGTGGGCGCTCCATCCCTGGAGGTTTTTAAGAAGAGACTGGACAGCCACTTCTCTGAAATGATAGAGAGTCTCCTGCTTGAGCAGAAGGTTGGACTGGAAGACCTCCAAGGTCTCTTCCAGCTCTATCCTGATTGATTGATTGATTGATTGATTGATTGATTGAATCACTGCCGTTAAGTTGGTAACACAATCGTTAAGCGAATCTGGCTTCCCCATTGACTTGCTTGTCATAAGGTCACCAAAAGTGACCACTGGGACACTGCAATCGTCGCAAATATGAGACAGCTGCCAAGCATCTGAATTTTGTTCCTAAGAACACGGGGAGGGTGCAACCGTCGTAAAGTGTGAAAAACGGCCATAAAGTCACTTTTTTCAATGCCTTTGTAACTTTGAATGGTCACTAAACAAATGGCTGTAAGTCAGGAACTGCGTGGACTGGTTTTCTGAATTTCAGCCGCATCCTAACCCTCACCAGATCTTCTTTCCCTGGTCTAGAAATCCCAAAAAGGAAGATGCCCCCCCCACAGCCCCACGTCTTTTATCATAGGAAAGCCTTTGGCGCCACCTCCTGGCTGCCTAAAGTCATGCCATTTGCTGTTTGATTCTTTGCTCCATTTCAATCAATCAATCAGACTAAAGCTAAATGGGTACTTTAGAGCAGCGCCTGCCCCGCAACCTTTGGGGCACCAGAGACCGGTTCTGTGGACAGAGGTTTTTCCGTGGACCGGAGTGGGCATGATTTTGCATGCTGCCTGCTTGTTTGCGTGGGCCGGTTTCTGGCATGCCATGCTGTCTCAGGAATTCTGGGAGTTGAAGTTGCTATCTTTAGCTAACATTTCTTGATTTTTCTGGGTTTCTGTGTTGAACCTACAAATCACAAAGGAAGATGCCACCTTCCTCTCTTCAGTCAGAAGATTAAAGTGGACAGCCAATTAAATATGAGCCAAGAGTATGCGGCGGCAGCCAAATAAACCAATGCAATCCTAACTTGCATTAACAGAGGGAAACAATCAAGATCAAGGGAAGTACTAATACCACTCTATAAAGCCTTAGTAAGACTACACCTAGAATATTGCATCCAGTTTTGGTCCCCACACTATAAAAAAGATGTCGAGACTCTAGAAAAAGTGCAGAGAAGAGCAACCAGGATGATTAGGGGACTGGAGAGTAAAACATATGAAGAACGGTTACAGGAATTGTGGGCATGGCTGGTCTAGTGAAGAGAAGGACTAGGGGAGCCATGAGAGCAGTCTTCCAGTATTTGAGGGGCTGCCCCAAAGAAGAGGGAGTCAAGCTATTCTCCAAAGCTCCTGAAGGCAGGACAAGAAGCAACAGATAGAAACTAATCAAGGAGAGAAGCAACCTGGAAATAAGAAGAAATGTTCTGAACGATCAACCCATGGAACAGAAGTTGCCTTTGGAAGTTGTGGGAGCTTCATCCCCGGAAGCTTTCAAGAAGAAACTGGACTGCCATCTGTCACAAAGGATATAGTGTCTCCTGCTTGGACGGGGGTTAGACTAGATGACCTCCAAGGTCCCTTCCAACTCTGTTAATCTGAGTTTTAGGTGCTCCATCACGGGAGGTCTTCAAGAAGAGACTAGATAGTATAGGACGGTATAAACTCACTCCTGCTTTGAGCAGGGGGTTGGACTAGAACAGGGGTCTCTCTCCAACCTTGGCCACTTTAAGACCTGTGGACTTCAACGCCCAGAATTCCTCAGCCCAGCTTTGCTGGACTAGAAGACCTCGAGGTCCCTTCCGGCCCCATCTGAAACAAGGCAACCCAGCTGCCTTTCCTCCCATGACCTCCAGAGGGCGCGCCCGAGGGTGGTGGAGGAGGAGGAGCAGCAGAGCCGGAAGTAGCGACCTTTTTCCCACCACCACCACCACCACCTGCCCTCACTAAACATGGCGGCGCGCAGAAACGGCGCCGCCACGTGGCGCCGACGGAGACGGCCGGCGTGCCCTGATCCAAGATGGCCGCCGCGGCTTCAGGCGGGGCTTGTGACGCAGGGCTGGGCGCCAAGCGGCGGGACCGGGGAGGGGGGGGGCTCCTCCGCCCAGCCCCCCTCTCTCTCCTCCCCTCCCCTCCCTCCCCCCCGCCATGCCCCGCCGGTTGGAGCGCCTGGCCAACGTGGTGCTGCGGGTGCCGCCCGTCGTCCTCCTGGACCTGCTCTACCGGTGGGACGTGCAGGCCTTCGCCGACACGGGGCGCCCCCTGGCGGAGCGGCTTCCGCTGCTGCGGGGGGGCCGCCTGTGGAGCCTCTGCTACGCCGGTGAGGGCGCGGAAAGGGCGCCACGCGGAGAGCCGAGAGGCCAAAGGGGGGGGAGGGGCAGGGACTCCAACTCCCATGGGGCGCTGGGGGGGAGGGGAGGAATTAAAGGTGGGGGGGTCTCTCTCCCCTCCCCCCCCCAGGAAGGAGAAGCGCAACTCACAAAAGGAGGCAGAGCCTGTGGGGGGAGGGGAGGGGAGGGGGGGTTGGGGGGCTCAGCCTTCGACCCAGGAACCCCTCCCCCTCCCCCAACACACACTCACACAACCCCTTTATGGGATGTGGGATGGGGGTCTCTCTCCCCTCTCTCTTATACACACACACACACACACACACTTCTACTTGGAAATGGGGCAGGACTCACACAGACATACACAGAGAGAGAGAGAGAGACCCCTCTACCTGGGAAGTGGGGAAGGGTCTCCCTTTGCTTTACTTTTATTTGATTTGCATACCGCCCTACTCCCGAAGGACTCAGGGCGGTGAACAGCCAACAATAAAATACATACATACAAAATTTAAAAAGCAGAAATAAAATCGAATTAAATAGTTTTGGCCCAGACAGATTAAAACCCCCAATCAATTTAAAACAAATTTAAACTTTGAGGATTAAGGATATTAAAAATATTAAAATTGTTTAAGTGGGGCAGGGTCTCCCTAACTCTCATACACACGACACACACACATACACTTCTACTTGGAAATGGGGCAGGACTCACATATACACACACAGAGAGAGACCCCTCTCCCTGGGAAGTGGGGCAGGGTCTCTCTAACACACACACCTCTACTTGAATGGATGGACACACACACACCCCTCTACCAAGAGCCTTGGTGGCTCAGCGGACTAAAGTGCTGTTAAGTAGCACTTAGCTGCCAGCTGCCTGCCATTACTGCAAGTTCAAATCTCACCAGGCTCAAGGTTGACTCAGCCTTCCGTCCTTCTGAGGGAGGTAAAATGAGGACCCGGATTGTGGGGGCAATAAGCTGACTTTGTATAAAAAAAAAAAGCAAAAGCCCTACTAAGCAGGTATATACAAAAGTATGAAGGCTATTGCTTAAACGCATTGTAAGCCGCCCTGAGTCTCCGGAGAAGGGCGGCATATAAATCGAACCAACCAATCAATCAATCAATCAATAATAAATAAATAAATAAGGCAGGACTCACACAGACATACACACGCACACAGACAGAGAGACCCCTCTCCCTGGAAATGGGGAAGGGTCTGTCTAACACACACACCCCTCTACCTGGAATTGGGGCAGGTCAATCAAATCTTTATTGTCAGTGCACAACGTGTGTACAATGAGCAATGAGGTCTCACACACACACACATACACACACACACACACACAGAGGAAGAGACCCCTCTCCTTGGGAAGTGGGGAAGGGTCTCTCTAACACACACACCCCTCTCCTTGGAAATGTGACAGGACTCACACAGACATACACACACATGGGAAATGGGGTGGGGGCCTTCCTCCCTCCTTGTGAGTGGGGTGGGGGGCTCTAGCGGTCCAGGCAGGGAGCGAGTTGCAAGAGCAGGTCCCAGCGCCAGGATGGGGGGGTGAGGGGCTGTGGGGGTGTCGGAACGTTGTTGGGCAGCTGGCGGCCTTGTGGCCCACTTGCAACATCCTTGCCAACCGTTGTGGCGGAGAAAAAACCCGGGGGGGGGGAGGAGGATGCAGGGGGAGTCACCTTATTTGGGGGGGGAGAATGCAACTTGTGAGGGAGGCAGGAATTTTGAGGTGGGCACTTTGCATGGCCTGCATCCGGCCAACTGACATTGGTATAGCTGGTCCTCGACTTACAACAGTTTGCTTAGTGACCATTTGGAGTTAAAACGTGGTGGGAAAACGTGACTTATGACCGTTTTTTCACCCTTCCTTATGACCGTTGCAAGGTCTGCGATGTACATTCGGACACTTGTCAACTGACTCACATTTATGACGTTTGCAGCGTCGTCCCCCCCCCCCCCCCCGGGGTCACGTCATTCTCCTTTCATGACCTTCCGGCGGGGAAAAGCAGATTCACTTAGCAACCGTTTTACTCATGGTAACAGCTGCAGGGATTCACTTAACGGCAAGAAAAGTCGTAAGATGAGGCAAAGCTCACTTAACAAATGTCTCGCTTAGCAACGGAAATGTCGGGCTCAATTGTGGCCGTAAATTGAGGACTACCTGTATTTACTTATGAAATGTACATTCCGGGCCATTCTGGGTGCTGAAGTATCTCGGGGCTCTTTGCAAGGAGATCAAAGTAAGAATTAAAAGAAAAACATCGGAAATGCAACTTTCTGCCCCCTTCCTCCCCCCCCTTTTCTGAGGTCACCTGCTGTGCCTGATGGTCTTGGTTCTCCCGCTCCTCTCCCTGGTGCAACTCTACCTTCAGCTGCTGGCCCTCCTGCTGCTCTACCTGTCCCACCAGGTAGCCTGGTAAGACGGCTGCTTCCTCCCCCCCCCCAGGAAAGTCCGTGGGAGGAAGGGTGGGGAGACCCCCGGCTTTGGAAGCTCGCTGGAGACACCTTGTGTCACCTTAGCCCGGCCTACCTCGCAGGGCTCTTTATTATTATTATTATTATTTTATTTTATTTTATTTTATTATTTTATTTTATTTTATTATTTTATTTTATTTTATTTTATTTTATTTTATTAATTTATTTATTTAATTAATTAATTAATTAATTAATTAATTAATTAATTAATTTGTATACCGCCCTACTCCCAAAGGACTCAGGGCGGTGAACAGCCAAAAGATAAAATACATATAATACAAAAGTTAAAAAACCATTAAAATACAATTAAATAATTTGGCCCAGAAAACAAAATTTAAAACACCCCCAATTTTTTTTTTTATTTATGTAATAAATTTGTTAATTAATTAAAGGCACTGGCTTATAAAATGTATTTGTTTATTAAATTATTGATCGAATTTATTGATTTAAGTGCCCTGCTTGTTAAATTTATTACATTCATTCATTACATCGATTACATATATTACATATACGTTTATTGATTCCTTTACATTTGTCTCTTATTCATTACATTTGTTTATTACACTTATTCACTAACGTATCACTTTTATCTCCAAACATGGCCGCTTTGAAGATTTGTGGACTTCAGCTGGATGGGGAATTCTGGGAGTTGAAGTCCACAAATCTTTGGACTTCTGGGAGTTGAAGTCCACTTTGGCGGCCATGTTTGAAGAACCCCGATCTGGAGGGCTAACCGGGGAATTCTGGGAGTTGAAGTCCACAAATCTTCAAAGTGGACAAGGTAGAGAAAGGGGGGGGGGGCTGCTGTAGACAACTGAGCAGGCAACGTTGTGCTTGTGTGGCTTCCTTTGTGTCCCTCTCTTGCTCTTCCAGGGACTACATTGACCATGAGGTGGAGCGTGGATTCCAGGGCGCCATCTATGAGGACCCGGTGGCCCTTGGGCACTTTGCCACTGCACTGACTGGTGAGGAATGGCGGTGGGAGATGGTTTGTTGGGTGGGGGGTCTCCTGATGCTCTCCCTTGGTTGGCCTGTGGTTGGAAACGGGGGCACTGGTGAGGGGGTGTGTTGCCCAGGCAGACCGTGGCTTTAGCGGTAGAGAATTTGGGGGGAAGAGGTGGAGAAAGGGAGGGAGGAAAGAGAGAGAAAGGGAGGGAGAGAAGGAGGGAGGGAGGGAAGAGAAGAAGGGAGGGAGAGAAGGAAGGAAAGAAAGAAAATGGAGGGAGGGAGGAAAGACAAAGGAGAGAGGGAGAGAGGCAGGAAGGGAAGAGGAAGGAAGGAGACAGGGAAAAGGAAGGAAGAAGGAAAAGAGAAGAAGGAAGGAGATGAGGGAGGAAGGGAGGAAGGAAACGGAGAGAGGAAGGAGATGGAGGGAGAGAAAGGAAACGAAGAGAGGGAGGGAGGAAAGAAAAGGAGGGAGGGAAGAGAGGAAGGGAGGGAGAGGAGGAAGGAAAGAGAAAGGAAATGGGAGGGAGGGAGGAAAGACAAAGGAGAGGGAGGGAGGGAGGAAGGAAGGGAAAAGGAAGGAGACGGAGGGAAAAAAGAGAGGAAGGAAGGAGACAAGGAAGGGAAGGAAGAAGGAAAAGAGAAAAAGGAAGGAAGGAGATGAGGGAAGAAGGGAGGAAGGAAACGGAGAGAGGAAGGAGATGGAGGGAGAGATAAAGGAAACGAGAGGGAGGGAGGGAGGAATGAAGGAAAGAAAGAAAGAGAAAGAAAGAAAGACTATTCCTGGCCGTTTTCTTGGCAAAGTCTTTTCGGAAGATTGTCCAATTTGCCATTGCCGTCTTCTGAGGGCTGAGAGAGAATGACTGGCCCAAGGTCACCCAGTCGGCTTTGTGTCTGAGGCAAGACTAGAACTCACGGCCTCCCCATTTCCCGTGGCCGAGACCCTTAACTCTCTGCGTCCTTCCCAGGCCAGGTGGCGGTCGTCGCCCTCTGCGCTCTGCTGCTGAAGACCCGGCAGGTGGGGCTGCTCTGCGCCCCCCTCCTCCCGCTGGCCGCCCGGCTGTGCTGCCTCCCTCCCCAGGCTCTGCCCACCGTCAGCTCCTGCGGGGCGGCCCTGGTGGCCTTGCAGCTCCTCTATGGGGCAGCTTCTTACCTCACGGGGCTTTTCCGCACGGCTGCGGCCGGCTGCCGAGAGATCTTCCAGGTAAGGAGGGGTGGAGGGGTTCCTGCAGGTGGGGGGAGGGCCTCAGCGCGCCCTTCCCTTCCCTTCCCTAGCTAGCCCTCCTTCCTCCTCCTCCTCCTCCTCCTCCTGGCCACTAACCCCACTGCTTTCTATCACTAATTGCGTCTGTGTCAGCGTCTCATCGCTGACATAGAAAGGAAGATTGTACAATTGCAATTACAAGATAAGCCCTGGACTTTTGCCTGCTAAATCCCTTTGAAGCCCGGTCACCGTGGAAATGAGGAGGGGGGAGACATTCCTGTGAAATGACGAGACAAGAAGTCAGGAGAGTGACCCGCATCGAGTCATGATCCGGTGGCTGCGCTCGAATAAAGAGAAGATTTCCTTAAAGATTGGCAGTTTGGAAATTCATTTATTTTGAGATCGCATCGAAGTCTGACAGACTGCAAGAAAACCGCCAAGCTCAGAGAGCACCCAGGACCTCATAGTCCTCCTCCTCCTCCTCCTCTCCTAAAGTCGTACCACTGATGAGGTTACCTAGTTGGGTCCTGAAACGTCTACAAGGAAGCTACCAAGCTCTGAGAGCACCAAGGACCCTGCAGATGTCTTCCTCCTCCTCCTCCCCTCCTCCTCCTCCTCCTCCTCCTCCTCCTCCTCCAAGAGCCCATGCTGCTCCTTCCTCAGTTCTAGGGTGCCCCCGCCCCCGAAAGGCCATCCTACTTCTCAGCTGCCCGCATCGCGGGGTCGTTGTGCTGGCTGATCTTTGGCTGGCCTGCTCTCCTCCTCCTCCTCCTCTACCCCCTTAGGAAGCCCCCCTTGGACGCTGCCGGGTGTTGCCAAAGCCGACTGGGGTCCCTCCGTCTCTCTTTGCAGGACCCCGAGGCCTATCATCTGGTGACCCTGGCCGGGTCCCTCTGGAGGCGGCTGGCTGTGCCGCTGGTCTTCTCCACCTTTTGGCTGGTCCTGTTCGCCCTGCAGATCTTCACCCTGGCCTCCTCCTCCTCCTCCGGCCCCCTCCTCTCCCAACAGGGCTGGCTCTTCGTCTTCCTCAGCAGGTAGGAGCTGCACCGGGAGGGGAGGGGGGAGGGGAGGGGGGGGCTGCTGTCCGAAAGAGGAGGAGGGGGAGGCAGCCCTGGGGCAGCTGGCCCAGCTTGTCCTGTCTTCCGCCTTCCCAGCGTGGCCAAATGCTGCACCACCCCCTACTCGCTCATCGGACTCACCTTCGCCGTCTCCTACCTGGCCCTGGGATTGCTCCAGCTGGCCAGGCTCTATTTGAGCGGCTCCGGAGCCTTCCAGGACGGCAGCGTCACCCACAGGTGAGAGCATCTCCCTCCCTCCCTCTCTCTTCTCTTTTTATATCTCTCCCTCTTCTCCCTCCCTTCCTCTTTCTCTCCCCCTTTCTCTCCCTCTCCTTCCGTCTTCCCGCTCTCTCCCTCTATTCCTCTTCCTGTATCTCTCTCCCTCTCTTCTTTTTCTCCCCCCTCTCCTTCTCTCTTCTCTCCCTCCCTCCCTCTCTCTTTCTCTCCCTTTTCCTTTCCCTCTCTCCTTCTCTCTCCCTTCCTTTCTCTCCCTTTCTCTCCCTCTCCTTCTGTCTTTCCACTCTCTCCCTCTATTCTTCTTCCTGTATCTCTCTCCCTCTCCTCTTTCTCTCCCCCCCTCCTTCTCTCTCTTCTCTCCCTCCCTCCCTCTCTCTTTCTCTCCCTTTTCCTTTCTCTCCCTCTCTCCTTCTCTCTCCCTTCCTCTTTCTCTCCCTTTCTCTCCCTCTCCTTCTGTCTTCCCGCTCTCTCCCTTTATTCCTCTTCCTGTATCTCTCTCTCTTCTTTCTCTCTCCCCCTCTCCTTCTCTCTTCTCTCCCTCCCTCCCTCTCTCTTTCTCTCCCTTTCCCTCTTCTTTTTCTCTCCCTCGCTCCTCCGTCCCTCTCTTCTCTCTTTATATCTCTCCCCGTTTCTCTCCCTCTCCTTCTGTCTTCCCACTCTCTCCCTCTATTCCTCTTCCTGTATCTCCCTCCCTCTCTCTCCCTTCTTTCTCTCTCCCCCCCTCTCTCCTTCCCCCTCTCTCTCTCTTCTCTCCCACTCTCTCTCTCCCCCTCTCTCTCTCTGGAAAAGCACCCACTGAACTTTCAGCATAGCCCTACAAACAGGTGGCAGCCCCCAGGGACTTGGGGGGGGGGGTCTACAGGATCTCCCCACATCCTTGTGCTCACCCCCCCCGACCCAAATTCCTTCAAGGGGCGTGACGGAAGGGGTGACGCTGTTGCTGCTGGCCATCCAGACGGGCCTCCTGGACCTTCAACTCCTCCAGAGGACCTACCTGCTCACCGTCATCTTCTTCATCGTGGCCACCTCCACTCTCCAATCTGTGACCGAAATAGCCGAGCCAGTCGTTCTGGGGCTGGGGGCATCGCAGAACAGGTGAGGTGGGGGGGGCAGTGGTGGGCTGCTACCGGTTCGGGAAAACTGGTAATTGCGACCTGCAGATGGGCCCGCTCCCGCCCAGGCGCAATCCCGTCTTATATCAATGTTTGATGTCGCACGCCAGTGGTGGGTTCCTCCCGGTTCAGCCCGGTTCGGCCGAGCCGGTAGCGGTGACGATATGACGAACTGGTTGCTGGGCGAACCAGTTGTTACAGTATATGACGCCCAACTCTGGGGGGGGGGCTTTTTCCATCGTGGAGTTCCACGCAGCTGGGGAGAGGGCGGAAGAAGGGGATCCTCGACATATGGCCACAATGGAGCCCAAAGTCGCCATCATTAAGCGAGACGTTTGTTAAGTCAGCTTTATGCCATTTTTGCCACGGTTGCTGAGCAAAGCACTGCGGTTGGTCAGTCAGTCACCCGGTTGTTAAGTGAGTCTGGCTTCCCCATGGGTTTTGCTTGTCAGAAGGTCGCAAAAGGGGATCATGTGACACTGCAGCCGTCACAAGTATGAGTCAGTTGTTGGGATCCTGCAACGGTCATAAGTGTGGAAAACGGTCCTAAGTCGCTTTTTCCAGTGCTGTTGTAACTATGAACAGCCATTAAATGAACTGTCGTAAGTCGAGGACCACTTTTATCTACAGGTGGTCCTCAATTTATGACCAGTCGCTTAGTGACCATTCAAAATGACAACCTAAAGGTAAGTCCTCGACTTACAACAGTTCGTTTAGTGACCGTTTGAAGTTACGACGGCACTGGGGGGGAAAAGCAACTATGACCGTTTTTCACGCTTACGACCGCTGCGGCATCCCCACGGTCACGTGATCGAAATTCAGACGCTTGGCAAGCGACTCACATTTACGACAGTCGCAGTTTCCCAAGGTCACGTGATTGACATTTGGATGCTTGGCAACTGACTCACATTTATGACGGTGGCACTGTCCCGGGATAAGATGATCCCCTTTTGCGACCTGACGAATCCATGGGGAAGCCAGATTCACTTAACGACTGTGTTACGAACTGCAGCAATTCACTTAATGTGGTAAGAAAGTGTGCTTGAAGGGGGTAAAACTCACTTAACAACTGTCTCGTTTAGCAACAGAAATGTTGCTCAGTTGTGGTCGTAAGTCGAGGACCAGCTGTATTCCTATGAAATCTCTCAAATCTCACTTACTTCAACGTGTGAAACTGTGTAAACCAGAAGAATCTGGGAATAGAGATAGTCCTCGACATACAACAGTTGGTTTAGCGACCGTTCAAAGTTACAACGGCCCTGAAAAAGGTGACTTACGGCCGTTTTTCACCCTTACGACCGTCGTACCATCCCCGTGGTCATGTGATCAAAGACGCTGGGCAACTGTCTCATACTTATGACGGTTGCGACCTTTCCGACCAGCGACATCCAGGGGGAAGTTGCTGAACGAGCGTGCTCCTAACTTAACAAACCGCAGGGGATTGGTTTAACAACGGTGGCAAGCAAGGTCGTAAAACGGGGCGAAACCCGTTCAACGACCCGTTCTCGCTTAGCGACGGAAAGGTTGGGCTCCATTGGGGTCGTAAGTCGAGGACCACCTCCTTGGATGCCATCTAACCCCAGCGTGGTCCTTCCTGGCTTGAGAAACGGGATGTAGAGTTCACGAGGGACCTGAGTTTTGGGGGGGGGGGGTCTCCTCATCCGTCGGTCCACCCACCCACCCCGTTTTTTTTTTTCCCTCTTGCAGGAATTTCTGGAAACACTTCCGTGGGGTGACCCTCTGCCTGTTTCTCTTGGTGGTCCCCGGATTCATGGCCTACAAAATCGCCCACTTCTTCCAGCCGGATTTCTGGCTGGTGATCCTCATCTCCAGCTGCATGCTGACTTCCCTGCAGGTACAGCTCGGCATTCCCAATTCCATCCGAATAGAGCTGGAGGGGACCTTGGAGGTCTTGTAGTCCAGCCCCGGCTCATGCTGGAGACCCTCTGCCATTTCAGAGAAGTGGCTGTCCGGTCTCTTCTGTCCAGGGATGGAGCCACCCACAACTTCTGGTGGCAAGTCGTTCCACTGGCTAATTGTTCTCCCTATCAGGAAATTCCTACCTTAGTTTTAGGTTGTTTTTGTCTTTGAATCAGAATAGAGCTGGAGGGGACCTTGGAGGTCTTCTAGTCCAGCCCCCTGCTCAAAGGAGATTTTGGACAGTTGACTGTCCAATCTTCTTAAAAACCTCCAGTGTTGGAGCACCCCCAACTTCTGGTGGCAAGCAGTTCCACTGGTTAATTGTCCTCACTGTCAGGAACTTTCTCCTTAGTTCTAGGTTGCTTCTCTCCTTGATGAGCTTCCATCCGTTGCTTCTTCTCCTGCCTTCGGGGGCTTCAGGTAGAAAATAGGTGGAGCCCCCTCTTCTTTTGGGGCAGCCCCTCAAATATTGCAACCTTGCCATCGTGTTACCCCAATCCTTCTCTTCTGCACTTTTATACAACAATGAATGACAAGAGATGGAAGGGACCCTGGAGGTCTTCTAGTCCAACCCCCTGCTCAAGCAAGAAACCCTTGAGCAGGAGGTTGGACTAGAACAGTATTTCTCAACCTTGGTAGCTTGAAGATGGGTGGACTTCAACTCCCAGAATCCCCCAGCCAGCAGCACTCAGACAAAACGGCCATCAAAAGGCACATAGAGATGGCTGGGGGATTCTGGGAATTGAAGTCCACCCATCTTCAAGCTTGCAAGGTTGAGAAACACTGGACTAGAAAATCTCCAAGATCCCTTCCATCTCTTGTCAATCTGTACCATCAGAAGATCACAAAAGGGGATGAACTGACCCCGGGGAGACCTCACGACCATCATAAATAGGAGTCAGTTGCCAAGTGGCTGGATTTTCACCAGGTGACTATGGAGGCCCTGCAACGGTCGTAAGTGTGAACCATGGCCCTAAGTCCCTTTTTTTTTTTCAGTGCCATTGTAACTTCGGTCACTCCATAAACGGTCGTAAGTGAGTCTACCCCAGTAAGAAGCTTCCCCCATTGGGTACCCAATCCCTTACACATTAACAGACTTGGAAGGGACCTTGTAGGTCATCTAGTCCAACCCCCCAACTCAAAAAGGAGACCCTTCACCATTTCTGACAGAGGGCAGCCCAATCTCGTCTTGAAAGCCTCCAGGGATGAAGCTCCCACGACGACCCATCAGGCACAGCCTCCCCCCAAGTCGTCAGGAGGAGGGTGGGAGCCGACCTCACTGTTGTGGCTCCGTTACCTGAGCCTGTGTCATCGGCAGGAGAGGACTCCGAGAGTGAAGGAGAGGAGTTGGCAAGGCCTCCCTCTCCAGGACTCTCCTCTCTGGCAATGCCTTCGGTGTCCGCCGAAGGGCAAGAGATAGGGCCGGGGCCAAGCACATCCACGCAGCCACAGATGGACAGTGATGAGGGTAATGAGTCTTGGCTGGATCCACACCAGCGTCGCAGAGATAAGCGCGTGCAACAGAAGAAAAGGCGTGCCCGAGATTAGGCTGTGTGCGTGTGGTTGGGACAGAACACTCACTTCCTCGCCCCTCGTAGGTGACGGGGACCCTCTTCGTCTACGGCCTCTTCGTGGCCGAGCTCCTCCAGAAGACCCCCGTGGAGAAGATGGACGAGATCCTTTACTGCGTCCAAGCCGTCAGCCGGGTGCTGGAGTTCCTGGTGGCCCTGTGCGTGGTGACTTACGGCACCTGGGGGTCCATCGTGGGAGAGTGGACGTGGCTGGGGGCCTCGGTCATCATCGTCCACTGCTACTTCAACGTCTGGCTGAGGGCCCAATCCGGCTGGAAGAGCTTCTCGCTCCGTTGGGAGGCGGCCAAGAAGATCGGCTTGCTACCCAGGGCCACCAGCAGGCAGCTGGAGGATCACAACGACTTGTGTGCCATCTGCTTCCAGGTGAGTCACCTCCTTCCCTTGTCCCAAGAAGGGTCTGGCCGCCTCCCCCTCTCCCCCTATGGGGAGACCACAGGGGCAAGGATGGGCTTTGTAGTGTAATGCATTTAAACCAGGGGTGTCAAAACTCGATTTCGTTGAGGGCCACATCACGGTTGTGTTTGACCTTGGCCAGGGTTGGTGTGGCCAGCTCGACGTCACTGGTGACCCCAGTGCTCTGCCAACAAAAATGGGCTCCCGAGCTCCGTTTTCGGCTGCAACAGCCTCCTGCAACGTTCTGCCAGCGAAAACGGAGCTCCGGAGGGCCCTCCCGAGCTCCGTTTTCGCTGGCAGAGCCACCGCAGGCCAGTCCTTCGCCGTTTCCAGGGTGGGCCAAATCTAAACACCTCATGGGCCAGATGTGCCCCCCCAGGCCTTGAGTTTGACACCCCTGTTTTAAACCCTGGGGAAGGGGTCCCAAAGGTGGGGGGGGGTTTTCCCCCAAGAGGCCACTGGACTTTCTGGTTTTTCTCTGAAGGCGTTTCGCTTCTCATCCAAGGAGCTTCTTCGGCTCAGAGCAGATGTCTGCAAGGAGTATAAATCCTTCCATTCCCCACCATCTAGTCCAGGGGTCTCCAACCTTGGCCACTTGAAGTCCACAAGTCTTCAAGTGGCCAAGGTTGGAGACCCCTGGACTATTCAGAGCTGAAGGAGCTTCTTGGATGAGAAACAAAATGTCTTCAGAGAAAAACCAGAAAGCTGCCGCTTGGGGAAAATAAAAAATAAAAAAAAGGACCTTTGGGACAACGATGACCTGGATGACGGAGAATCTCCATAAACACCTGGGCAAGGGGGTTGGCTGGATGATCTCTTGAGGTCCCATCAACATTTCCCTAGACTTCCCCAAGACTCTCCGTATTCCCCACCCTCCTTTTGTTCGTCTGCCAAGGATTCTGCGGTCTCTTAAATGTACCTTCCACCGAACAAACGCAAACGCCATTTTGTCTTTTATTTCCAGCATTTATTTAAAATCCGTTCCAGAGTTGCCGCTTCCTAATCTGCAGGTAGACCTTGACTTAACAACCGTTCATTCAGTAACGGTTCAAAGTTTACAACGGCGCTGGAAAAAGTGAAGTTATGACTCTTTTTCATACTTACGACTGTTGCCGCCTCCCCGCATGATTTAAAGTCAGACGCTCGGCAACTGACTCATACTTATGATGGTCGTGGCATCCGGTGGGGGCTCACGCCATCCCCTTGGGCGGCCTTCTGACAAGTGAAGTCAATGGGGAAAGCCAGATTACTTAACAACCGTGTGACTGACTTAACCGCCACAGTGATTCACTTAACGACAGTGGCCAAGAAAGGTCGTAAAATGGGGCACAACTCAGTCAAGGGGGAAGGCAGATTTGCTTAACAATGGTTTCATTAATTTAACAACAGCAGGTATTCAATTAAACAACTGGCAAGAAAGGATCGTAAAATGGGACAAAGCTCAGAGAAATGTTGGGCTCCATTGGGGTTGTAAGTCAAGGACTACCTGTATCCCCTCAAGTTCACCATAGCAAGATCTTCATTCTAGATGAATTATTTGTAATTCTTGAATGTGGCCGAGATCCATCTGCTCCAAGCTCAGTGTTGTGACCCAGGCTCACTTAGTCATTGCAAGACACAATCAGTCTCAAACAAATCTATTTTATTATAACAGTTGAGAATTACTTCATTCCTAGCTTAGTCCAAATTAATTCCAAAACAAGTCCTTCAGAAAAAGTCCTTCCGCTTATCACAAACCTTTATCTTCTTTGGCACCCTGCCAAAGGCCTTTCATGGCAAAGCCCCACGAAGTTCAGAAACAAGAGACACCGACTGGAAACAGATTTAGCAATGTTGCTTTCCTACAAAGAGCCCAAGAGCCTTTACTACTCTTTTAAGTCTTATGGGAGGGGCCAATCATCTCCTGGCCTTATTCCCGAGTTGTCCCTTTTGCTTTAGCTGTTCTTGCCTTCTGGCAGCTCTGCGCATGCGCGCACTAGGAACAGGCTCCTCCTGTTCCTCTGCCTCTCTGCTGTCCGACTCTGGAGGCTCCGGAGTCAGCGCATCACTCCCAGATGGCTCTGGCCCCATCTCTGCCTCCGACGCAGAGCCCTCGTCCGGGCCTTCCCCAGACTCCAGGACTGGCCCATGTTCCTCCCCAGACTCCTCACTGTCCGACTCTACTGCCAGCTCCACAGACTGCCGGCAGACCACAACACTCAGATCTACCCAGAGTCTCTTCTCACCTCTCTTTTTCTGTCTCTTTTTTTCAGGAAATGACCGTCGCCGTGATCATGCCCTGCGGCCACATTTTCCACGAAGGCTGCCTTCGCAAGTGGTTCTACGTGCAGGACACCTGTCCCCTCTGCCACCAGGCGGTTCAAGTCCCAGCTACCCAGGAAGTCCAGCAAAGTGATGCTGGACCAGAGGGGACATCCCAGCCAGAGCGTGGAGGATCCGTCGGCCACCAGAATACAGAAGACTCCAACAATGACAGGCTGCTGGACCCTGGCACGTCCAGTTGCACAGAGCAGCCTGGGCTTTTGCCACAGGGGTCTGCTGAGGAAGACGCTGTGTGTCCATGAGGGGCTGTACCTGGGCTCAGCCCTCCCCCAGAAAGAGCCCCCACCGCAGAAGAAAATTACCAACTGCCTGTGCTAGAAAGTCTAGAAAAATTCAGGGAATCGGTAGAGGCTCGGATTGTGGGGCAGCACCCTCTCCAAAGCGAGCTGAGATTACCCAGTGTGCAAAGAGACACTGGTCCCCCTTGGCCCTCGGCTGCTCGGAGTGCCGAGGGGCGTCGGGAGAGGCCCATGCCAACTGCCAGCCATCCTGCGGCAACGGGCAGCAATGCCGAGATTGTGGACGAGATTCAGGAGAAACCGGACGCTATCCGTGACCAACTGGACAGTCTCAGGGACATCCTTCCCGCCTCCCTTCCTAACCCTCATCCGTCACTTGCGGGCATTTCTCCCGAAAAACCCTGTATTCCCTAACCTCCTACTTCCCTTACCCTGTCAATTGCCTTTTTGCCAGCCTCACTCAGGAACGTCAACTGGAGAACTGTATTTTTCGAACCATGCAAAGTTTTGCTTGGAAAGCCCGTTGCTCCGTTCACCTTTTTTTCTGTTCGGGAAACCCGTCGGCTCGATTCTCTGAACACAACAGGCTGACTTCAGCCTGGTAGCTCGGCCCTGTGGCTTCCTCGTGGATTTTGGGGGGGGGGGGGCAATGGGTGGCATCTGGGCAAGTCCATAGGGCGGGCAGGTAACTCAGCGTCCCAGCGAAAGATCCTCCCAGGAGTGACCCAGCCCAGTGAGGTCACAAAGCACAGGGCAGGCATGAATTCCTCGGTATCCTCTTCTGCCCATTGCGTGTTGTGGTAGTTGTGTTGCAGAAGAGCCGTCCCAGGCCGGGGTCTTGCTTTCTGGCTAAATGAAGCAGGATTCCCCATACAGACCACTTGAAGACACGTGGACTTCAACTCCCAGAATTCCCCAGCCAGCCATGCTGGCTGGGGAATTCTGGGAGTTGAAGTCCACGTGTCTTCAAGTGGCCAAAAGTTGGTACACATGAAATAAAGGAGAGGTGTGGATTTCCGGTGTGCAAACGGGAAGAAAAGAAAAAACCCGCAACTCGGCAGAGGGCGGATTCTGGGAAAAATAATAATAATGGGGTCCTTAACCCCAGAGTGGGGGGGGGGGAATATGTGACTTGCCTCCCCCCACAAATTCAAAGCCGACCAGCGTGAGACAAACCTCAAATCCTGAACGGTCGGTAATTAAAACTCGAGGTGCCAAAGTGGGCTTAATTTGGCCAAAGAGATTTAATCACACGGGTGGACTTTTCAATAGGGTGGGGAGCAGGGGTGAAATGTAAAATTTGTTACTACCGGTTCTGTGGGCGTGGCTTGGTGGTGGGGGTGGGGGTAATGTGAGTGAGTGGGCGTGGCCAACTTTTTTTTTTTTTTTTTAACTTTCCAAAGCATTTTTTCTAATGCTTTGAAAAACCTCTCTGCCGATCAGGCAACTCAGCTGGGATCGTCAGAGACTTTTCAAATCATTATTTTTACCACCGCTTCGGCCAAGAGTTTGCAGAAAAAAATGCTTTGAAAAGCCTCTGACGATCCCAGCTGAGCCGCGCGATCATCAGAGGCTTTTTTTTTTTACTTTTAAAAGCATTTTTTCTACCGAAGAGGTTGTAGAAAAAATGCTTTTAAAGTTAAAAAAAAAAAAGCCTCTGATGATTGTGCGGCTCAGCTGGGCATGGGGGGGGAGCACAGGGATTTTTGCTACCGGTTCTCCAAACCACCCGTCGCCATCGCTGCCGGATCAGGCAATCGAATCCGAACCGGGAGCATTTCACCCCTGGTGGGGAGGAGGAGAAAGGCCGAAATTGGGCTTGTCAAAGGACAAGCCGGTTTCGTATGAATGGATTCTTTGACTCTCTAAAATATCTCAGTTGTGTCCCAAGCCAATTCTCGGTTGTCTTCCTTGCACCCTGGTGCGCGTTGTGCGTTTGTCAAGTCGAGATCTATTGCTGAACTTAACCTGCAGGAGTTGTCGGTGCTTCAACACCGGAGGTTTTTTAAAGAAGAGATCGACAGCCATTTGTCTGGAGTGGTTTCGGGGTCTCTCGCTTGAGCAGGGGGTTGGACTAGATGACCTGCAAGGTCCCTTCCGACTCTCCTTATTCTGTATCAAGACTAAGGGCGACGTGATCACAGTCAACCAATATTTGAGGGGCTGCCACAAAGAAGAGGGGGGAGGGTCCACCTATTCTCCAAGGCATCTGAAGGCAGAACAAGAAGCAACGGATGGAAACTAATCAAGGAGAGAAACAACCTGGAATTAAGGAGGAATTTCATGACAGTGAGAACAATTAACCAGTGGAACAGCCTGCCACCAGAAGTTGTAGGTGCTTCATCACTGGAGGCTTTTAAAGAAAAGATTGGACAGCCACCTGTCTGAAACGGTATAGAGTCTTCTGCTTAAGCAGGGGGTTGGACTAGAAGACCTCCCGGGTGCCTTCCAACTCCTGAACGGACAATCGGCTCCAAAGGACAATCCACACTACTCTAGAGTGTGGTTTTTTTTCCTGTTTTCTTCGCAGGTCACCCGGGTTTCAGGTTGCCATCACACAACTGAGTTGTGTAACCCGGTGCACAACTGGGTCTGTGAAGGGATTAACAAGGATTGTTCCCAGTGGTGAAAAGCCTGCCTGTTAATCTCAGAAACCAGCATATCTGGCTGGGGAAGTTTAGATGGCCTGCGTAGCCTTTGAGGATGGCTGGATTTCAACACTCTATACAGATGGCGCATGTGATACACAGTATATGAATACAGTAAATCCCACTCCCTTCTAGCACTGATGATGTAACCTAGACGGATAACGAAATGTCTGCAACAAAAGAACCAAGCTCAGAAAGGACCAAAGACCCCACAGTTCTCCTCCTCCCCCCCCTCCTCCTCCTCTGCAAACCCCACTCCCTTCTAGAACTGATGATGTTACCTACTTGGGCAATGAAATGTCTGCAAGAAAACCGCCAAGCTCAGAGAGCATCAAGGACCCCACAGTCTTCTCCTCCTCTCCGCAAAGTCCCCTCCCCTCTAGCACTGATGATGTTCCCTAGTTGGTTCATGAAATGTCTCCAAGAAGACCACCAGCCTCAAAGAGCACCAAGGACCCCACAATCGTCGTCTTCCTCCTCTCCTCAAACCCCACTCCTTTGTAGCATTGATGATGTTACCTAGTTGGGTAATGAAATGTCCCGCAAGGAAACAACCAAGCTCAGAGAGCATCAAGGACTCCAGAATATATTAATTTTGTGAGTCTTTTTTTTTTATTAAAAAGTTTTACAGAAGGTTTACGTATTCCCCCCCTTCCCTACCACCCCCACCCCCTTAATTTTGTGAGTCTTGATGCTCTCTAAGCTCGCGGATGTTTCATTACCCAACTAGGTAACCTCATCAGTGCTTCCGTCTCTTCCACTGGTATATTAAACTTCAAGTTTTTCTTAAAAAAAAAAAAAAGGCTGCACGTTGAACGGTTTTGGAATTAATACAAGGAATGGATTTTTATCTCTCGCCCTCCCTTACAAAACAATGGACTTTGGAGATTTTGTAATAAAAACGCATGGAAGCTGGTTTCAGGCCAGATGCGCCATTTCCAAAATAATGAGCTGCTAAAATTCACAGCGTGGAAGGAGAGAAAGGCGGGATTTTGCTATCATCTCCTTCCTGCCTTCCTTCCTGGCGTTTCCGCTCGGTTTCTCCAAGCGTTTTCTCTGACGCACCCAGGACAACTGACATTTTGACTCGGAACCATAATCCATTTAGCAGAACGATTTCCGCGGAAATCTATCCGCGCTTTGCTCTCTTTCCAGCTATACCTAACATCAAAGTAAACTGGCCTCTTCCCGATTGGCCACGGTGACGTCTCCCAGAATCCTTAGCAAGCATGGGGCAGGAATTCTGGGAAATACGCCCCCAGAACATCATTGCAATTGATTGGAGAAGAAGACTTGTCAGCATCATGTCACTTCACCCCTCTAGCTGAAGGTCTAGCTGTTTGTTTACGGTTAGTCCTCGACATACGACCACAACATTTCTGTTGCTTAGCAATAGCACTTAGATACCGCTCTGCAATGCTTTTACAGCCCTCTCTAAGCAGTTTAGAGTCAGCGTCTTGCCCCCCCCCCAACAACCTGGGTCCCCATTTGACCGACCTCGGAAGGATGCGTCAACCTTGAGCCAGTCAGGATCGAACTCCTGGCCGTGAGCAAAGTTTTGCCTGCCATGCTGCATTCTAACCACTGCGCCACCACAAACGCCATAAAAGACAACGGTTGTTTGAGTGAGTTTTGCCGCGTTTTACAACCTCCTTGCCATCATGTTAAGCAAATCACTGCAGCCTTAAGAAAGTCATTGAGACCACTTGGAGCAGTGTTTCTCGACCTTGAAAGCCTGAAGATGGGTGGACTTCAACTCCCAGAATCCCCCAGCCAGCGCTGCTGGCTGGGGGATTCTGGGAGTTGAAGTCCACCCATCTTCAAGCTTCCAAGGTCGAGAAGGAGTTTATCTGTGCCCTCGGGGTCACATTTATGGTGCAAATGGGTGTGGACACTTCTTGGAACTGTTTGAAAAAGGACTTGTAAACTGCTGGTTTGAAAGAGGGGTCAAAGAGGCCATCTAGGTTAACATTAACAGAGTTGGAAGGGACCTTGGAGGTCATCTAGTCCAACCCCCTGCCCAAGCAGGAGACCCTCCACCATTTCTGACAAATGACGGTCCAGTCTCTTCTTGAAAGCCTCCAGGGATGAAGCTCCCACAACCTCCGAAGGCAACTTCTGCTCCATCGGTCGATTGTTCTCACTGTCAGGAAATTCCTCCTTATTTCCAGGTTGAATCTCTCCTTGTTCAGTTTCCATCCATGATTCCTTGTCTGGCCTTCAGGGGCTTTGAAGAATTGCTTGACCCCCTTCCTCCTCTCTGCGGTAGCCCCTCAAATATTGGAATATTGCAGTCATGTCTCCCCTGGTCCTTCTCTTCACTAGACTAGACATACCCAATTCTGGCAACCATTCTTTATATGTTTTAGCCTCCAGGCCCCTAATCGTAGAGGGACGTGGGGGCTCAGTGGCTGAACTTGTCGATCAAAAGGTCGGCGGTTCGAATCCCGAGGGCCGCGTAACGGGGTGAGCTCCCGTGACTTGTCCCAGCTTCTACCAACCTAGCAGTTCGAAAGCACGTAAAAAAATGCAAGTAGAAAAATAGGGACCACCTTTGGTGGGAAGGTATCAGCGTCCTGTGCACCTTTGGCATTGAGTCATGCCGGCCACATGACCACGGAGATGTCTTTGGACAGCCCTGGATCTTCGGCTTTGAAATGGAGATGAGCACCGCCCCCTAGAGTCAGGAACAACCAGCACATATGTGTGAGGGGAACTTTTACATTTACCTTTACGCCTAATCATCCTGGTTGCTCTTCTCTGCACTCTTTCTAGAGTCTCAACATCTTTTTCATAGTGTGATGACCAAAACTAGATGCAGTACTCTAGGTGTGGTCTTACTAAGGCTTTATATGGAATAGCCCTCAATC